TGAGAAGATAAACAAAAGTGACAAACCTTTAGCCAGACTCACTAAGGAAAAAAGAGAGAAGACTCAAATAAATAAAATCAGAAATTAAAGAGGAGAAATTACAAAGGATTCAAAGAAAGGATTATAAGAAAATACTATGAAAATCTATATGCCAACAAATTGTATTAATCCAGAAGATATGGATAAATTTTTAGAATCATACAACCTCCCAAAACTGAATCAAGAAGAGATAGAGAATCTGAACAGACAACGATAAGTAAAGAGATTGCAACAGTAATCAAAAACCTCCCAAAAAACAAAGATCTAGGAACAGATGGCTTCTCTGGTGAATTCTACTAAACATTTAAAGAAGATTTAATACCTATCCTTCTCAAACTATTCTGAAATATTGAAGAAGATGGGATGCTTCCTAACTAATTCTATGAGGCCAACATTACCCTGATACCAAAACCAGACGAGGATGACACAAAAAAAGGGAAATTACAGGCGAATATTGCTGATGAACATAGATGCAAAAATCCTCAACAAAATATTAGCAAATCAACTACAACAATACATTAAAAGGATCACACACACTGATCAAGTGGAATTTATACCAGGGATGCAGGGATGGTTCAACATCTGCAAATCAATCAATGTGATACACTACATTAACAAAATGAGGAATAAAAATCATATAATCATCTCAATAGATGCAAAGCATTTGAAAAGATCCAACATCCATTTATGATAACAACTCTCGCTAAAATGGGTACACAGGGGAAGCACCTCAAACATAATAAAGCCCATATATGACAAATCCACAGCCAACATCATACTGAACAGTGAAAAACAGAAAGCCATCCCTCTGAGAACAGGAACAAGACAAGGGTGCCCACTCTTGCCACACTTATTCAACATAGTACTGCAAGTTTTAGCCAGAGCAATTAGGCAAGAAAAAGAAATAAAAGGGATCCAAATTGGAAAGGAAGAAGTAAAACTCTCGCTGTATGCAGATGACATGATTCTATATGTAAGAAAACCCTAAAGAATCCACCAGAAAACTATTAGAAATAACAACTAGAATAAAGTTGCAGAATACAAAATCAACACTAAAAATCAGTTGCCTTTCTATACACTAATAACGAACTAGCAGAAAGAGAAGTCAAGAATACAATCCCATTTACAATCACAACAAAAAGAATAAAATATCTAGGAACAAATTTAAACAAGGAGGTGAAAGACCTATACACTGAAAACTAGACATGATTGAAAGAAATCAAAGACATAAAGAAATGGAAAGATAGTCCATGCTCGTGGATTGGAAGAACAAACATAGTTAAAATGTCCCTATTACCTAAAGCAATCTACAGATTCAGTGCAGTCCCAATCAGAATCCCAATGACATTCTTCATGGAAATAGAACAAAGAATCCTAAAATTTATATGGAACAACAAAAGGCCCTGAATAGCCAAAGCAATCCTGAGAAAAAAGAACAAAGCTGGAGGCATCACAATCCCTGACTTCAAAATGTACTAGAAAGCTATAGTATTCAAAACAGCATGGTACTGGCACAAAAACAGACACACAGATCAATGGAACAGAATTGAAAGCCCAGAAATAAAACCACACATCTATGGACAGCTAATCTTGGACAAAGGAGCTAAGAACATACAATGGAGAAAGGAAAGTCTCTTCAATAAATGGTGTTGGGAAAGCTGGACATCCAAAGAATGAAAGTAGACCATTATCTCACATCATACCCAAAAATTAACTCAAAATGGATTAAAGACATGAATGTAAGACCTAAAACCATAAAACTCCTAGAAGAAAATATAGGCAGTACACTCTTTGACATCGGTCTTAGCAGCATCTTTTTGAATAGTATCTCTACTCAGGCAAGGGAAACAAAAGAAAAAATAAACAAATGGGACTACATCAGACTAAAACCTCTATATGGCAAGGGAAACCATCAACAAAACAAAAAGACGACCCACTAACTGGGAGAAAATATTTGCAAATCATCTATCCAAAAAGGGATTAATTTCCAAAATATATAAAGAACTCAAACAACTGAACAACAAAAAATGAATAACCCTATCAAAAAATGGCCAGAGGATATGAACAGACATTTTTCCAAGGAAGATATACAGATGGCTAACAGGCACATGAAAAGATGTTCAATATCATTAATTATTAGGGAAATGCAAATCAAAACTACAATAAGGTATCACCTTACACCCATCAGCATGGCTATAATTAACAAGACAAGAAATAATAAATGTTGGAGAGGAGGTGGAGAAAAGGGAACCCTCATACACTTCTGGTGGGAATGCAAACTGGTGCAGCCACTATGGAAAACAGTATGGAGATTTCTCAAAAAATTAAAAATAGAAATACCATATGATCCAGCTATCCCCACTATTGGGTATTTATCCAAAGAACATGAATCAACAATTCAAAGAGATTTATGCACCCTTATGTTCATCGCAGCACAGCACTATTCACAATAGCCAAGACGTAGAAGCAACCCAAGTGCCCATCGACGGCTGAATGGATAAAGAAGATGTGGTATACACATACAATGTACTACTACTTGGCCATAAAAAAAGACAAAATTGTGCCACTTGAGACAACATAGACGGACCTTGAGGGTATTAAGCTAAGCAAAATCAGCCAGGCAGAGAAAGACAAACACCATATGATTAGTGGTTAGACAAACACCATATGATTAGAACAGATTAGGGGTTACCAGAGGGGAAGGAGGTGGGGGAGGGCAAAAGGGGTAAAGGGGCACATATGTATGGTGACAGATAAAAACTAGACTATTGATGGTGAACATTATACAGTCTATACAGAAACTGGTATATAATAATGTACACCTGAAATTTACACAATGTTATAAGCCAATATGACGTCAATAAAATAATTAAAAAAAAAAAAGAATGTAGAGACCTATACTTCAAATGACTTTAAAATTATAGTCACAAATATTTATTGAGCACTTCTTAAACAAGTACTTTGGTGCTGAAAACACTAAAATGAAATTCCTGCTTGCAAACAACTAAATCTTGAATAGGAGAAAATCCTTGAATAGGGTACTAGCAAATGAACAGTTATAAAACAATGAGGTAAGTATGGCAATGAGGGTGTATGAGAAACTATGGGAAGAGAGTGAATTCCCAATGCTTCACACGGGCTGGGATGGGGGGAGGGTGGCTGGGTCTCATCACTTCCACTTTGGTCAGTTTGGTCAATCTTCCATTATAAGAGTAGGAATGCTGAACTAACTACAATCAGGGCAAGCTCCAATCCAGGCTGGCTCAAGGGCTTTCAACCTCCCAGATACGAAAGGCACTACATTAAACTGTGTCCTCAAGAACCTCTGCCCCTGCAGTGACTGGGGAGATGGGAACGTTTCACAGAAAACATTACACTCGAACTTAATATGAAGGGTAAGTAAGAGTTCATAAGGAATGAAGGAAGGATGGTGCACGCAAAAGTAAAACGCATGCAAAGGCGGGTGGAAGTTGGTGAGTGGAGTGCAGGGTTCCCAAAGGATTGGTGGGGAAGGGCTTAGAAAGAGAGAGCAGCTGTTAGGTGATGAAAGGCCCCATGCCCTGCATTTAGAAATCTGGGCTTTATTCCATGGATAGTCCATGGATAGTTTGTGAGAAAGATCACTGGTTCCACTGTCTACAGAATAGAGTCAAACTCCAGATCCCAGCTGGCCCAAGGTAACTTTCAAGCTTCATTTCTTGTTATACCCACTAAATAACTGACTGTCAGAAAAATCATCACTGGAACAAATCATGTTTTTTTCAGATACATGGTATCTTCATTGTAAACACCTTTCTCCTTTCCATTCATAAAGTCTCTGTTTATTCTTTGAGAGCCTCCTCTCTGAAGCTTTTGCCAACTCCCTCAGTAGAATTAATTCTTCCCTTTTCTTTATTTGCATAGCAGTGTATGGTACCTCTCTTAAATCACTTACTCTTCTGTTTGATAATTATTTTTTTAGGGATTAGACTGTACCACACTCAATGGCAGCAGTGACAGGACTAAGCACAGGGGCACTCAAAAACTACTGGACTAATATACTCTTTCCCAGAGTATAACACATGTCATTTATGGTACGTGAACTGACTTTAGGTGGTATATTGAATATACATTTAAATAGTTACCAATTTATTTTAATGTATTTTAGAAAAATTATAACTACCACATCAAACACAATTTCAGAGATATTATTGCTTAGGAAATGGCTAAGTGAAATGAAAATATTAATCAGAATAAAGGGTTCAGGAGTGACTCCTCTGCCTGATACTCCCTATCAACTCACCCTGCTTAATATTCTTCACAGCTCTTATCATCATTTGACATATGTATTCATTGCTCCTCCTCCCAGAATGTAAGCTCCATGAGGGTAGGGATTTGGTCCAATTTTTTTTGCTACTATATTTCCAGAACTTAGTTTAGTACATGGTAAGTAGTAAGGGCTCAATATACAGTTATTTAAAGAGAATGGGACGTTATTTAAAGAGAGAGGGAAGTAGGATGGGAGGGACTGATGAAGAGAGAGCGGGACGGAGATCAATGCACTTGATCAATTCACAGAACCAATTTTTGAGCTGGAAGGAACTGCAGTGCTCTCGTTTTACAGGATAAGGAGGCTGACACCCAAAGAGGGTTAGTGACTTACTCAAGGCCACACAGGCAGTGAGTGGCAGAGCCTAGACTCCAACCCATGTTATTTGATGAGAGGTTGTGAACTTCCCATATCATCTACTTATAGGCAATATAGACAAATGAAGGTTTATTACTTCTCATAACAGACCTAAACATGCTGATAATCTATAAAGTTAACAGGATGGTATTGGTTGCTTCAGTCAGACACTAATAATCAAAACAGAAAAAGGGAAGCAAGAACAAAGATGAATAAGAAATCTAAGATTTTCTGACCTACAGTTTTAGAGTGTAAATATTAGACAACATATTATTGATGAGAACATCAGCATTACCTCCAAGGACCATGCCAGCCTGACAGCACTTTCTAAGGCGACATGCTGGGCAGTTTTTTCTGCGGATTTTATCAACAATGCAGTCATTTCTTCCGGCACATAAATAGTTATGCTGTCCTAAAAAACAAAAAAAGTAAAAATTATTTACAATATCTAAACACCACTGGAAATTTTATGCAATGACAACTGAAAAATGGGATCGGTGCACATCAGCAAGCGCATGACTGTCCCAGCCAGCCTCTTGCCTGGCATAACTGAACGTTGGTGATTCTACAAACTTGCCAATACTTTACCTGTGCCTTCAGGAGCCCAAGTGAGGTGAACAAAGCTTTGAAATCAATTCCAGGGCTCCTTTAAAAATCTTTTGTACAAGATTTCGGTGCATCTTCTAATGGTGTCAGCATATGAATGCCCTTAGAGCTTTCTGCCATTTCAAGATTAGCTACATGTTGCTGGTAAGCATTAGTTATATAATAAAAGTCAAGCTCTAGTAAAACCTTTTTATTTCTGGTATTTAAACCTTCAAGAAATAGATACAGACTAAAGAATTAAAGAGGTCTCTGGAATAGACCTTTTATAAAACCTATATGGTTAATTCTATTAGAAAATCCTAGAGCTAGCTCACTCTTAAAGGGTTTAGTGATTGTGAATAACATGTAAAAAAAAAAAGTCACTGATTGTACTGACTTTATTGCCTGGTTTATTTTGGCAACAAATTAGAAAACTTGATGAATAGAAATAATGATAAAGGGAGAACAATTTAAAACACTGAGAAGTACTTGATGAAGGAGAGGACAGAAGAATTACAGAAGAAATATGAATAGAACATGTGACCCTGGGGTCATTTGTGTAGGGGAAACTACTTATACCCATCAAAAGTTCTGGACTATGAATTTAATGCAACAATGATTTTTAAACCACAAATATGTTCTATTTAATAAGGCACGAAACAATCTAATTTATTTAGGTTGAACAAAAATAAAAAATATTTCAACTTAACCATGTAAATATTAATTAACTGGAAAATCTACTTCTTTGGCACTCATTTTCCAATAAATTCTTATAAAACAGACTGTGAGTCTTTTAACATCACCAGCTTACTTATACTTTTTAAGCATGAAAAATAATTTTAAAGGATTATGGAATTTCCCTATAGTATTTTCCATTAGTTGACATTCAAATCAGATTTATTCTTCTGGCCAAAGTTTGTAGTAAAGGAACACAGAGGTACCTTATATGTGTGCTTAATCAAGCAGGGGAAAAGATATGCCCAAATGGCAAAAGGCAAAAAGGCCACATCTATGGGACAGCTAATAACAGAATGGGCTCACCTGGGGCATTTTTGGAAAAGCACAGACGGTAAGTTTCTTAAAAATATATTCCTCCACAAACTTATGTGCATGTACTCTCACACACTAGCATTCATTTTCTTGTTTAGCAGTCCTGGGCATTGGGCTTTCCTCATAATAAAGGGTAGTGATGAAGCTGCACACCTATGCCCCCTAGGTTAGCAGAGTGTACTGCACGCTACTTTCTGATTTGACTCGGGTTTATTTTCTACCACAAGTTGTATTTGCAGGCTACAGGAGTGACTGTGGGAGTAAAGTGTGTGTAAGTTTATCTACCTATCTATTTCTATCTATCTATCTATCTATCTATCTATCTATCTATCTATCTATCTATCTATCTATCTATCATCTATCTAGACCCTACACTGATTTCTCACAAAAAGAGAGAACAGAAAATAGGGAGCCAGACTTTCCATCCTATATGAGAACAAAATTAAACAAACAGTGCACACGGATGTAATTGCTGTTTGAAGGGAGGTTGTCCTACTCTCTACATCTAAGTTACAAGAGTCCAGGAAAAAAGCCTGAAACACCAGTAGCTGGAAGGCTGCTGATGTGTCTCTTTTCTATTTCTTAAATGATTTACAACAGCGTCTCCTTCTTCAGTGTCTCAGAGAAGAAGTCCTCCTTACCAGGGCTCTCAGTCTACATTCCAAACCATTCCTTCCCACCTGCTTCAAATCTTGTCCCATCAATTTCCCCCTTTCTCTCCTAAAATCTTTAGTCTTTCCCTCTCCAATGATGTTGTCCTTTCTCCTCAAGTTTTTCCATTTCAAAAAATTCCAGCATCAAGAAAAAAAACAAAGAAATTCTATCTCACTCTGAATTCTCCCTGAGTCCATCCCTTTCTTTGTCTTCTAAACTGTTGAAAAAGTCATCTTCGTTTGCAGTTTCTAGTTACCCAACTTCCTTTCTTCCTCAGCATAGTGCAATTTGGCTTATATGTTCACTGTTCTTATGAAGTGGCATAACATCATCAAAGATTTCTTCATTCCTAAATACTGTGGATTCTTTCTTGACCTTCTGTCTAATTTGCCACTGGTAATTTCTCTCCCCACCTGTCCCCTGCTTTGTGTTTGGGGGCACGTCTCTTCTGACCTTTTATCTATCTTTCCAACAGTTCCTTTTAAGTTCCCTTTGCCAATCTCTCCTCCTTTGCCTATTCCTCATATGTTGTATTCCACCGTTCACACTATGGGAGTGGTCTCGTCATCTTCTCATGGCTCCAAAATCTCATCCTGAGCTCTGACTTTCCAACCATCTCTCTGTAGGTATCTCAAACTCACTATTTATGAAAAAAAATTTAGTGATTATCTGGTCAAATTGTTTATTTCATAAATTATATTATTAGAAAAATTTTGTAACAAATTAAGGAAATTCAAAATCATCTACAATCTCATTACCATGCAACTATTCTCATTTTTATGTTTCCTTCCAGTCTGTCTGTACAGACCTAGAGAGTACGTAATATCTATTTGTTAATATTTGTTAAGTGAATGTATACATACTTTTACAAAACTCTCATTAATACAACAAGTATTTACTGTGTGTTTACCGAATATGTCCCAACACTGTTTTTCAAATTAATCCCTTTTCCTCACTTAATTGAAATGCCATCTTAATTGTTGATACTGTAGTGTTGAAGAGCAGTTACTGAAGTCAGACTGCTTGTTCAAAGCTCAGATCTGCAGCTTACTATCCATAGCATAATAATAACAGCAACAGACAATTATTAAGCATTTACAAGCTATTTACAAGCACTCTTACAAGCTACTTGCATGAATTAACTCACTTTATCATCACCTTGGGAGGTATTATTAGTACCTTTTATAGAGCGTTAACTGAGAAGTTAAGTAACATGCTTAAGGTCACACAACTAACTGACCTGAGAGGTAGTATAGGAATTTAAGAGTATGGACTTTGGGGCAATACTGCCTAAGTTTGAATGTCAACCTCACTAATTATTAGCTGGGTGATCTTTGACAAGTCAAATGAAGATAATATTAGTACCTAGGGTTGCATCTAAGGATTAAATGAGCTAATGTAAGAACTTAGAGTAGTTTGGCACATAGCAAGTACTTAATGAATGTCTACAGCACATAGCAAGTACTTAATGAATGTCTACAATAATTACGATTATTATCACATCCCTAAATCCTGTTCCAGATGTGACCCAAGAATTCTACACCTAGTCAAGTTATTCAATTTCAAAGGCAACTAAAAGACATTCTCAAATATGCATAAAATCAGGAAATAAGGCCCCTATACACTCTTCCTAAAGAGGTTCCTACAGATGTAACCTAGCCAACAATAGATGAGTTACAATAGAGAATGCATGAGGGAGGAAGTCTGCTGTGAAAGGATGTGATGATGAGCACTAAATAAATTTAAATATATATTTAAGTATAAATGAGGAAATTATAGTTACCAAATAGAATGCAATTCTTATAACTTTTGGTAGGGGGAAAGCTGAGCATTCCAAGATTTGACATTTGAGTGGGAGGGAAAATTTCTGATAATTAAGGCTATTGGCATGAAGTCACTATCTTAAGGAGTTAGCACGACTCATATCATCGTGGACTGCCTGTAACAAAATGGAATGGCTTAAAGAAATCTGGAAGCTCAGTCCACTCTAAGCTATGGTCATCTTTAACACTAACATTGGGCTGTCAAAACTGCAAAGCAGATACTGCATCATGCAAGCAAAAGACAGGGGGTATAGTCAGAGGTTAATCTTCTCTAAGAGATTTTTTAGCCTAAGAAATGTTGCAGCCAGCCAGTTTCAACTACAGTAGACCAAGATAACTGGCCTGGGGCCCAGGCACTGCCTCTGTACCACAACATTTGGCCAGGATTCAGAGCCACCAGGAAGGCAAGGAATGCAGAAAAGACCACTCCACGGCATGTGTCACTCCATCAGGTACCTGGCTGTATATGCAGATGAAGAAAGCTCACACCCAAATGCATTGGCTCTGTCACAACATTATCTGGGAAGTCTGCAAAATGTTGAACTGTGGTGGTTGCAGATCCGACATGGTGTCTGCTGCCACCACTTTTCTTTAGACAACAGTCTCAAATTTATATTCTGGTTTCGAAAAACACATCCATGTCTAGATCCACTTGCTTATTCCTCATAAATCACAGACTGATGGCTCAAATTGCACGTTGTTGCTGCTCCTCCGTTCAACATAACATTGTTACTAAACAACAAATCTATAAAAAGTCACTCTATTAAACCACTCAGTGCATTCCACCCTCTAACATCCTTGCTATCTACCCACACCTTCCACCAGGAATTACAAGACATTTAGGAATATTTATAACCTATGGGCCACCACAAACAGGATGAATGACATAATGATAAACAATAGGAGAGTTTATCTGCTTGGCAAATTCTTACTCAGCTTTCAAGTTGGGTCTTACTTGACTGATCCCAGAAAGGCCTAGACATTTCTACCGTGTACCGACTACACATTCAATATATTCCTCTTATAAATGCTGTGTGCCTGTTTTGCCTAGGCTCTGTGCAAGTAGGAACTACTCAGAATATGCCAGAATATGCCAACAAAGCCAAGAATCTGTCCAAAACTTTGGGTGGGGAGGAGAGTCATCCATGACTAACAACAAAACAAACAAAAGTCTTGGCCTTTATGGGAGGTAAATTTTCACTACCACATGGTATATGAACCTGTGCCAAGGAACAAATACTTGTCTAGGATCAGTGAAATTCCTAGGGTGCAGGGAGAGGCAAATGCAAAACTCATCTGT